GTCCTCTGCAGGAAGAGGTTTTCGAGGTAGTCGAGGAGGTGGTGGTGCTGGAGGTGGAGGACGTGACTCCCGTGAAGATTTTCCTGACCAGCCAGGAGGACGTGGGGTCAGAGAGTTCAGCAGCTCAGGTTGGACAACAGCAGGAGGCAGCTGGCTGGGCTGCAGCCCGTCAAACACCAGAAAGTCTCCAAACTGAAACCTTTACCTAGAAGCCAGGGTCAGCTGATCCTAACATTTTAATGGTGTATGATTGTTTGTAGTAATGAAGCACTGATTACTCTACACCAACGTGTACAAATGTAGTCACAGTTTTCAGGTGGAGGGGACTCCTGGTGCAACGCTGCCTTGTTCACTGAGTTGATGTCACCAGAGTTTTATACAATAGTTGAATACAAACAGTACACAATGAAAATAAATAATACTGTAGCTGTTGCCATTACATTGAATATACAGTATATAAGCTGCTCTTTAATGTAACCTGTTGACATCAACAATGTGTACTGCATTCAAGTAATACTTCAGACACCACAGCACCACTGTGTATGACCTCACGTTATGTTCTTGGAGACCAGTGTTTACTGCAGTCTGGACAAAAACCTGCGTTTGACCTGAACCTTTTTTATTACCTGGTCTATGGAGAGATTGTGCTGTTGTGGTAAAACTACAGCTGTTCTCTGCACTTGTGATTATTTGTACAGGACTTTTTACATTTCACACAAAAGAATGTGGCAGGCAGCGTTGCCCACCTGCCCTGGGACACCCCCCACTTTTACCCCACCATACCTTTCATCTCTGCCATCTCATGCTTGTGTGTGTCCACTTCAGGATCTGGAAACAGTGCTGGTCACAGAGAGTGTGTACGCTCTCTCAACTCCCTGTGTGTATATGTGTGTGTGTCTTTTCAGGTTTTAAAGACGACGACTACATGGCAGGACGAAGTCGAGGGGGCGGCAGTCGCCCTGGTGACAGAAGGGGAGGAGCCGGAGGAGGGATTGGTCGCTTCAGAGATGGACCCCCACGTGGAGGATCGACAGACTTCAGGGAACCTTCTGAAGGTGACGTCGCCATCTCACTGTGTGGCCTTTAACTGTTCATGTATGTTTAGGACTGATGCGACTTTAATTTGACACCTTATACACTGCACTTGTCCTCATCATCCTGGTCCAAGTTCTGTCTGTGACTGACCTCACTTCCACGTTCTCTGTGGCTCTTTATTTGCCATGGATGTTAAGCATGGAGTGCATTACTTCAGTTCAGAGTTAATTTCCAGGCTGACATCAGTTTCTTGGACTGCGTTTTTTTTCCAAATTGTTGTCCCCACTTTATGGTGAAAACCGTTACACCTCACTGTTTTTCCAAAAAAGCCCAACTGTGTCCTGACGTCTCTTGGTTGTTGTTTGTTGTCTTCTCTCTTTATCACAGAGGAGCGTGCACAGCGGCCTCGACTGCAGCTGAAGCCTCGCACAGTCTCGGAGCCACTCAATCAGGTCGCCAACCCGAATTCTGCCATCTTTGGCGGTGCCAAGCCACGAGAGGAGGTGATCTCAAGACAAACCATAAGAGACTAAAGACCAGGGGAAGGGGGTCAGGAGGGAGGGAGGAGAAGGGTGGGGTTTGGGGGCAAATAAACCAGATTTAGGGTGAGATTAAATGCAGTAAGCATTCCTTCCTGATTGGCCGACGATGTAAGAACAGGCGCTGCCCTCCTTTCTTGTCCTCTTCCTTTTTCCTGTTTGAGTTCAGTTTGAGCAGCATATTTATTCTTAGTCAGAATAAAGACACAAAACTCTGAATCATGAAAATGTAAACACACAACAAGCAGCTTGTGAATGCATGTCCAGCCATCAGCCCCCGTACTTCATTCTGCTTATTGTGATATTACACCTGCATCATTGAGTAGCCCCGCCCCTACTGTTCCTAACTCTGCCTCGTTCAGGGTCATAGGTTATCCACTATTTTGCTTTCCAACAGAATGAAGGCAAGACAAGCTGTCAACTCTTGTCTTCTGTATTTTGTAGATATTGATCTAAAGCCTCGCCCTCCAACGCTCTGATCGATGGAGTCTGATGTATTTTTAACTTCACTGTTGCTTGTGGCCGTGGTGACTCATCAGTCAGGTTCCTCATCTTCAACTTGGCTTTTTATCTTTCTTTTAAAGTAAGATGTGGTAAACTGGCCAGACCCCTGTGTTTGTAAAACTGCCTTGTTGGCACCTGGAGGCTCATCCTGAAGTTGATCTGATGTGTATGTTAGGAAGACAATGCTCTGCTGTCTGCAGCTGAAGCCTCTGGTGTCCAGTGAGTGTGAACTCTTGAGATTTTCTATGGTTTGATTATACAGCTGTGATGCTGTGGTTAAAGGAAGGGAAATAAATTTTTAAATTTGTAGGTAGTTGTATCATGAAAGAATGAAACTGATTGGCTGAGGTGTGTTTTTACACCTGTCCATGTTCATGTCGTTTGTCCACACTGAAGGAACTGTCTTCTGGTCTGCAAAATTGTCAGCACAAAATGAGGTTCTAACTGGTTCATCTGTCATGATTCCATGTGGGTTAAGTCAAAACCAACAAAAATGTTTTTAAGTAAATGGTCATTTTTTTAATGTTCTGTTCTAATGAACAAAATATTTTTTTAGTTTCTCAAATATTTTATTACCAAAACAGAGAAAAAGCTGCATTCCAACTGCTCCATGCTGGTTGTTTGAAAAGCACCCAAGAATTAAGTGTCCACACTAGCATCATCATGTCAGTCACATGAACCCTGACCTGCAACATATAGGTTTTAAGATGTTGAGATTAATGCATGTGTACTTTTAACTAAATTGCTGCTACAAACGCAGCACAGTCAGTCTTGGTAGTTGCCTTGTATGTATGTGAACTCTGAACAGATGGTTAGGAACAGATTCATGTGACCTCCACTCAACTTGTTGTCTTTTTTGGATGAGGAAGTTTTTTTTTTCCCAAGGGTTTCTGTTGGTGAATTTACTTAGCCTTATTTGTCAGTGGTGAGTCATTGATGATGAATCCAGTCATGTGTTTTTTACTTTGCTCCCACGAATGTCTTTATTTGTGACCAGAGGCTATGGGTAGCTGTCAGAAGATACCAGAGTGGTATTTGTCAGATCTGACCTATCAACAAGGCGTTGATAATTACCATGCCGTTTAAGTGTGACTTGGTGTTGATCCACTCTGTCCAGCTAACTTCCAAAGCTCTCAGGGCTTCTCTAATTTGGCTGGCACTATTGCTGGAGTAACCTGACTGTAGTGCTACATTAAAACTGTAAGCGATGTTTTTTTGGTGGCAAGAACTGAGATAGATGAGACCAGCTTGTACTGTAGACTGTGAAGAGGCAGCAGAACAAGGACGGACTTTGATGCATGATGTTAATGTTTTCAAAATTATTAGTTGGAGATAAAAGCATTGGAACATCTCACACACACAGTATCAACTCTTTATTTCCATCACATATCACTACAATCCACCTGCAGTGGTCACAGCCAAACCTATCAGACATGGTTGGTCTATCTGTTCCACCAAGAGCAGCTGTGGCTGCAGGGTTAAGTTCCAACCAAGCAGCAGCACACCGGACTTGGCTCATTTAATCAACTGATCTGAGTCTTCCGACAGTTGATTGGTCAATCAATGTGTTCTGGATAGGTTGGAACAAAACCCTGCAGCCACAGAGGCCCTTTGTGGAACAGTTTGGGCAACCCTTGCTATAGAACAAACAGGACTGCTCACGTGTCAATTAGAAAAACCTTGTTTCTCCACGTTGTTCAGTTTGATATTCTGGTTTTGCTCAGAGATAGAAGTGGCAGTGATGTGTGGTTCAATAGACTAAAAATGTGAAGTCCTCTGGTCATTTTTTTCCAGGTTAATTTTCTTTTGCATCATTTCTCTTTGTTTTGTGGAAAGAAAACTCTTTTCTCTTATTTTGTTATAACTGTTGGATAGTTGTAAGGGAAAAGGGGAAAAAGGTAAAATACTGAAAGTATGAGGAAAATTTAACATGTGACAAGATACATTTTTTTTCTACCCTTATTATAATTTTACTTTTGTCCCCTTTGCTTTCTGCTCCAATTTCTTTTATCTCTGTGTTTCCACTTCTCCGCTCTTTCTTCTTCATCTGTCTTTTCTCACAGCACTGAGTCATTTAGACACCTTCTGACATTCTGACACTCCCCCTGGCCTGACGGTGGCGCTGCAACAGAAAAGAAGGCCTTCCAAGGTTATTTGTGCTCACTTTGTGCTCGTTCCTTCGGTTTGGATAGTACGATGAAAATTCAGCTAAAACGATTAAATGATTTCAATGAACTACAAAGAAATAAAATAATGTCCAAATGTAATTATTAGTTGTAGTGTCCCTTAGTGTTCATCTTTATCATGTGGGGGGAGGGAGCCGGTTCCCTGGTTCTGTCCCAGTGTTGGCCAGGATCAGATCTTAGTCTGTATTAGGTGTGAAGCTAAAGTGTTTCCAGTCTGCATCATTTTGAACACAGATGAACAGTTAGCTTTGTTTACACAGATTTTCTTTTCTTATTGTATCATAGAAGAAAAACAGAACAGCTGTTTCAAAGCCCTACCCCCTTCCCAACAGTGTTTATGGCAATAAAACTGTATGAACATTCAACGTCCACAGAATGTGTTTAATTTTTTTTCATCCAAATAAAAACAGTGAAGAAAAGGTTTGACCTCTGTGACCTGTTTATAAAGCACCGACCATGACCACAGTTACTGGGCTTTTTAACATTTCCTTTTTTAAATGTTTACACCAGGGGTGTCCAACTTAATTTCACTGGGGGCCACATCAGCAATACAGTTCCCCTTGAAGGGCCATCTGTGAATGGAAGACTGTATAGATCAGGGGTCCCCAACCCCCCGTTCGTGTATTGGTACCAGTCCATAGGTCATTTGGTACCAGCTGTAGTGGGACACAGTGTAAAAATGATCCTTCACCGCTACCATTCTGTAGTAACGGGTGGTACTGGCTGACCAGTCCTTGGAACAAAAAAGGTTGGGGACCACTGGTATAGATGTAACTACTCCATAACAGACTAATACATGTTTCTACAGTTGATTATTATTTATTCAAGGAACAAATATTGTTCATTACTGTGTAATAAAAAAAAAGATTGAGAAACTCTGCTGCATGGACTTTACTAAATGCTTTTTTAGGTTTCCACGGGCCACACTTTGGTGCTTGGTGGGCTGCATTTGGCCCCCTGGCCTTGAGTTTGACACGTGGTTTACACTATAGAAAATTAAGTGATTTTTGAGTTGTCAGCAAATCGCGTTTGTCACATGGAAACTCAGTCTGTATTTGATTGTTTGTAGTTTGAAAGAGAAACACCAGGGGGCGGGAAAAATGCACATCGTTTTACTTTATAACGATGTAATTTTTCTTGAAAATATGTCTCAAAAAGGCAATTATGGTGTCAATATATGAGTATATATTTTGTATTTACCGATATACAATTGTATTTGACATCGTATAGGTTAAAGCTTTTTTACACCTGTTGTAAAACTTTGGCAAAGGTTTGTGTTAATGATACTTGTCATTTATATTGTACCAACAATAATATAACTCTGAGTTAGGAAGTTGTCTTTGAGACATAGTGCGCATACGTGTGCGCGCTTCCGCGGAGGTAAATCGTCTTCCTGGTTTGCAGACACAGTTGTGATCTCTCTGTGACTATTCACTTTTTAAAGCCTCAGGCGAAAGTGCTGACTTATTATGCTGGTCAACCGTCTAACATCATCCACTAGATAAGTTAGTGAGTATTGACGAGTAGTGACTCAGTGGTGACTAAATCCGACCGCTTACGGCAGGAGTCCGGTTACCTAAAGGTAAGACTGCCTGACTTTGGCCGTCACCGAGTTGCTGGTTCATGTGACTCAGTTAACCCACTAAGTTAGTTCGTTTTAGCTGTTACCATTTTAGTGTTGACTAATTAATTTGTAAACTTATGTTGTTGTCTTTAAACTTTAAAGTTTGGTTCACTTAAGTGAGTAGCCTAATGTTAGCTTAGCTTGTACCCTGCTAGCTGTTCAACCGCTGAACCCCGTTTAAAAATCGCTAAATTGAAAGTGATTTTGCCCAGCGTCGGACGCAAAAGACTGCCACCTTAAAACATTTAACACAGTCTTTTTAATTTGCTCACATTTAGTCATCCGGCTCACACATTACTTATAAGAGATCTTATATTAAGCTCTTTTAAAGGAACTTTAAGGAAACGGTTTGGTTGATTTCTTCACTGTCCCATTCATACCTGTTGATGTGTAAATAAATTCCTACTTCCTGGAACATGACGCTGAATTTACTCCGACTTTCTTTTCGAAAATTTAATATATTTTTAAATGGCCCTTTCCGACATTAATGTAAAAATATATAAAACAAATAAAATCATGTCAAGTGATTTTGTGAAGAGCAATGTTTTGCAGAATACTTTGCCCATGGAAGTATGAAACGCTTGTGGTTTTACCTGAACGAGATTTGCTTTAGTTTTTCTGAAGCAGGTTTCTGTTCACAGTTCTGCGCATATTACATTAGTAGACATTTGACTTTCGACCGAAATGTGATGGGTCTGACAAAGGATAGAAAGGTAGCATAGACTAATTAAGGGTAACTACTTTGTGAGGTTGTTTAACATGATAATGTGACAGGTTTAAATGCAACATAGGAAAAGCCTCAATTCTGCAGTTTTTTTAAATACTGTAGTTGTTGTTTCTTGTCGTGTCTTGCAGGAGGTATGGCAACACCATATCTCTCAGAAAAATATGAATAAAATGTTTGTCTTATTTATAGCTTAGAAAGTCTGATAAGTAAGTATACAGTTGACATGAAAACCTGTGAAACATCCTTTAAAAGGAGGCCGTAACAAGGTGAACATTGGTTTAAATCATTTTTTAAACCAGTGATCACTGTGGACTCAACTAAAACATGTGTACATGTGTGTGTTAGACAGACAAGTATGTGGGCGTCCTGTTGTAATTGGCTGTGCATGGACTCGGCTGACAGTGAACAGACTGGTGAAAGTGAGCAACGTCGTCATCATCAACAGTCCTACAGTAACTCAGCCTTCAACACACAATCTCCTCCACCTGAACACACCTGTAAGGCCTGTGGAGGCTGCATTGACACAGCTGCAAAAAAGGTAAGTAGAGACCACCTGAACCTCTCTTGTCGACCAGGTCAGAGGTCAAAACCCTGCTGACAACTTAAACTGTTAGTGATGTCACCACTCATTGCTCAGTCCCTTGCTACCATTCTTCCCCAGCATGTGTGTGTGGACTGTAAGAATTACTACTGCAGCCGCTGCTCTGCCCAGCTTGAACCCCGCCCCTGCCTCTGTCACACCTGTCAGCGTTTTTATGGAAATCTGCTAGAGAGGACGGAGCTAATGAAGCTAAAAGTAAAGGAACTCAGGGACTACCTGCACCTGCACCAGGTCTCAACACACCTTTGCAGGGAAAAGGTCTGGTGTGATTCCTTGACCACCTCAATGCCATCCAGACCTTGACTTGGTCTAAACACTGTTTCCTGTCCCCCAGGAGGAGCTTGTGGAGTTGGTCCTGAGTCGACAGTCCTCACCGTCCAGTGACTATGCCCCAGACGATGTGTCCACTGAACCTGCCTCTCGAACCTCTCACCCTCCTGACTTGACATCGCACATCTCCGTCTTGACACCGGACCCAGATGAACCTACATCAACGCTAAATGAATCCTCAGACCTTCCCTCCGTACAGCACGATGCTTTAACCTCTCCCTCAGAGACCACACCCACAGAGATCCCTGCTGCTGAGTCCGGTACTCAGGAAGATGACCAGGTACAAACAGAATTAGATAAAACATGAAAGAGATGTTGATTAATGTCAAAATCTTTATGTCGTCATAGAACATCTTCTAAAACCAACATTCAGGTCTTTGAACCTTTTGTTTTTCCTTCCAGACCTGGGACTGTGAAGAGCCTGCAGCTCCAGGTCGCAGAGCGTCTCTGGCTGACCTGAAGTGTGTGGATGATATCGAGGCACTCAGTGTTCGGCAGTTAAAGGAAATACTTGCCAGGAACTTTGTGAACTACAAGGGCTGCTGCGAGAAGTGGGAGCTGATGGAGCGTGTGACCCGGTTGTACCAGGACCAGCAGAACCTGTTGGGTAAATGTTGACATTTATTTTCACGGAAAAGAAGAGTTGGACCAAAAAAAAATGAAGGTATAAGTAATAAAAAGGTTAACAGTGTTCTGATGTGTTTCAGCTGCAAACGCTGCCAAAGCTTTAGGTGAGTTTCCTATGAAACAATGATACTTTTGTTTTATTAGTGAAGGGTTACAGCACAGTATGGTTAAGAAAAATAAATGAGGACAGTTAAATGTTTAAACAGAACTGAATTCTTCCTGGTCTAAGGTGTTGTGTTTTGTTTTTGTTTTTCACTTTAAGGAGTTAAACTAAAACTCTAAAGTGATCGTTTGTCTGTTATTCTGATGTTGTCACGTCTGCTCCTGTAGAGTCTGAAGAAGGAGCTCCTGGCCTGGAGGACAATGTCTGTAGGATCTGTATGGACTCTCCCATTGACTGTGTCCTGCTGGAATGTGGACACATGATTACCTGCACCAAGTGTGGAAAGAGGATGAGCGAATGTCCCATTTGTCGCCAGTATGTCATCCGTGTTATTCATGTCTTCAAGTCCTGATTTCAGGTACTCCAGGGCTGGTTTGTTTTCCTAGGCTAACATTGTTATCATCATCATCGTCATCATTGTGGTCAGACACTTATCACAGACAGGTGTCATTACCAGTTTGTCTCTGTCTCCCTGTAGGACAAGAAACCTCCGAAAGGCACCGAGTCCAAACTACAAAGAAAAACTTTTATTTCTATATCTCTATTTTTTTAGTGTAAATATTAAGCTGTACCACCACATGACCTTATGTGACCTGCTGGTCAGACACAACCCAGACGTGGATCACATGATCTGATCAACCAAAAGTAACTTGGCTTTATCTCAATATGTGTAAGTAAGAAGAGGACTGTTTACACTGTCCAAAAAAGAAAAGAAATTCGAAAATGAATTCAACTCATACAGAGTGGTAAATCAAGGGCTGGAATCACAAGGAACAGATTCCCAAATGTTGGGTGCTAGGTACCTCATGAGATTAAATGCAATGTCGGTTCCTCTAATTAGTTCCTAAAAGCTCTATTTTCTTTTATATTACTAACAAATGCTATACGCATCTAAAAGAACCAGCTGCTGCTCTTCCAAGACCTTTCCATCATTCTGCTGTCATGAGCAGAGTGATGAACTTGAAGGTTGGTTAATTTAGATAAAAGCCAGCATTTAATGTAGCATTCATGAGAAAATGCTCCAAATGTGGCTGTACTTTAAAGACACAAAAATCTGACAAAATGTGAATTGACTGTAGCAGCATTTCAGTTTCCTGCGGAATGAATGGAAAACAGAGTGAAAGAATGAAAGAATGTTCATATAAGAACCTGAGCAGTAGCACAGACATTGAGTCAGTGATGAAAGATCTGATGTCAGTTGTTCATAAGAAAAAGAAAACTCAGCTGCAAAATTGCAAAAAAACAACAATATTTTTACATAATGTAACAAAGATGAAGAAAAAAAATCAGAAAATTTTCAGTAACAATATTTTCTTAAGAACCGTTGAATAAGTATATTCTTAACATGCAGATGCATATGCACTGAAATTGGAATAAATAGCTGTTACTGTTTTTTTAGAGTTTGATTTTGTTAAAACTGTTTTTGGTTTTTCTTTTGGTTTTTTAAGTGTGACATGGCTATAATGATGTTTTCACGTGCCTTGACTGGTGAGTTAGAGTAGATTCTGATGGATATGGCCTTAAAATGAAGCACAAGCACAGAGTTCAAATATTTTGCAGTATTATACTGATGCATATATAATTTAAGGAGAAAAGACACTCGGTTTTTAAGCAGGTAAAGCCCCAAAGCTCCAACCGTATCAACACATCATCAGTTTCAACTGTAGGTGAGAGATTCGAAATTAGACTAATTGGAAGTATCAGAAATGTCACTGATGCACATTACATATCACTTTACAAACACAACACTGACATTGACACTACAACTCAAAAGACACATTTTTACACTTTGATCACATTGTTGATTCAGCTATATAAACTCAAGTAAAACTACTAGCTCTGTGGTGACATCACTGACTAGAAGGAATGTAATGCTATATTGAACTTACGATACAATTACGATTCTCACAGCAAGGTGTATCTTTGAGACAATTTCCTAATCCACAGGAGCGTTTTAAGGATGATTCAGAACTGAGAGGTTGTGTTCAGAACTTTGGCATTCCCGGAGGAAATGATTCTCTCATGGTTTGGACAGAATGGACTTGAGAGCACTGCATGACAATGTTAGCAGCAATTCTCATTGGTTTGATGGTTTGGTTTGTTTTGATGCACAATTTTGCTGAGTCATTCTAAAGTTTTATGCATTTGCTATGGTTCCATTATTGGCCTGATTTGATGATTAACTTGAATTTTGCTGTGTGTTATTTTTGGTTTCTTAATTGGCTCTAGTATGAAAACAATTTTTGTTACCATGTTATTACTTGACCAAGAATATGTGTAATGTTGAGGGGAGAGAAAGACAGTGGTTCTCTGTAGCTCAGGGTTTGTCCGACAGTGGCTGTTTGTGAAGCTTTTGATTCAAGTTCCATATGGTTAGTATGCAGTGTAACGTGGGTCCAGTTCACACATAGATGGAGACAAAAAGCTCAGAGAACCAGACGGCACCAGAAACTTTCTACTATGATGAAAGGGACAAAGGTCAGAACAGTTCTTTAGTGGTCATAAAAAGGGACCAGAAAAAGCAATACATTAGGCTTTGTGCTTTTGTAATAACCACATTGTTCTTGTCGACCTAACTTGATCTCAAATATTTTACTGTGTGCCTTTCAATTTTATGACATGATGTATTAGCTGCAAAAACAAAGATAAAACTCTTTAGGCTGCTTCATTTTTCATACACTGGTTAATGATTTTTTTTGTCTTCGTTAATGGTGTCGCTTTATGTTTCTTAACTTAATTGTACTGTCATTTGTAACGTCAGTCAGTCGATTAAATAAAACATGAACACTGTGAGGAGAGAATTGTGCAAAGGTTTATTCACTTTCACCATTAACTATTTTACGGGTATTACGGAAATGTAATTCAATCAAACAGAGGGAGAGGCTGTGAACTGATTCACCATCACGTTGCTGTGTGTTATGATGTGTTATCGTATCGACGATGCTGATTTGTTCGTTTCCTGGATGTGGACACAATTTCCTATAGCAGCGTGTCCATTGGTCACCTAGGGACATGAGGGTAAACATTCTTCCGTAATTGGTTAGTTACTATATAGTAGGCGGGGATTTTGTTCAAATTGGAGTCCCGCCGCTGAAGAAGGTATCAAGTTTCTTCAGTTCTTCTCAAGTTGAGACAGTCGTCCATCATTATTACGAGAGATTTTTTAACTCGGCCCTTTTCACTTTAGAGGGCTTGTATGGGTCAAAAGTGCCTTGTGGAAACGTACTTCAAGTTCTCGATTGATTGCCGTGACGTTTTAGTGTGTGTGTAAAGAGTGTCATGGCAGAGTTAGCGGATATCGGATTATTCGCCGCCGTAAAGAAGAAGACTGCAGCGGGGAGAAGGAGCCGGCAGAGCCAGCAGAAGAGAAGCTCAAGCGGCCGGGTACGGTCCAATGCTAACCAGGCTAGCTGCTATCACCACAGCCCGTTACCCACACAGACTGAGGGCGTTTACGGAGCATTTAGTGTGTGACGATTAACATTTTGTACATAAACACAACGTAAAGTTGAATTTGAAACTAACTTTTTTTTTTTATCTCGAAGAGCTTTTTTGTTTGTTTTTACAACTTTTTCACAGCAACAACTTGTTAAATAGGCACGCAATCACTGAAGACGACAGTTTTACTTTTAAGTTCCGTTTCACTGTTTAAGAGACATCTCTGTCTAACCTTTGCCTCCACGTCCTTCCTGCTGCATCCCAGCACATCAACAAAACATCTAAAATCTATATCCAAATTACTGCTCCTCCGAGATTCATGCCGCTTTTTATTTTTTACAATTGTTGTTTTCAAAGAAACATGTAGTTGGGTATAAGCTAAAATCAAATTTATGGCACGTTATTATCTTTGAAAACATGAAACTCAGACAGTGAAATGCAGTTTAGCATCTAACAGCACAGGTAAATAGTAACTCTAAACAGCTCAAAACATTATGGTAATGGTTCTAAAACGCAATGCAAATTGCATATTTTGGTTGTAACAAAATATTCACAGTACAGAGTGGATATGATTCCCATTATTTATCTGATTTGATTGATTCATGAGTAGTAATTTTACTCTATATTAGGGTAAAATGAACTCCAATGAGTTTTCCTTTTGGTGTTTGTTTTGTTTAGGTGTCTCTGGAGAAGGTTCTTGGCATCAGCACATCCAGCAGCAGTGGTTTGACATCTGACCCCAACTCTGGACTCATTGCCTATCCTGCAGGGTAAGGGACCACGTCCTAAATGAATCATTGGTGTTTACCCAGCATACACCACTGTGACTCTCAGTCCTACTTGACTTTGTGCCTCAGGTGTGTGATTGTGCTGCTCCAACCAAAGACAAACAATCAGACTCACATCATCAACACTTCCAGGTACATCACTGTTACAGTAATACTCACTTGTACTTGTACTTGTACTTGCACATTACATCACTGTTCTGTGTTTGTGTTTCAGAAAACCCTTCAGCGCTCTTGCATTCTCTCATGATGGAAAATACTTGGTCACTGGGGAGGTGAGGCCTGAACAACACACAGCAGTCTAACAACAGCAGACGCCCTGCACTACTGGGACAGCAGGGCAGAGTAGAGTTAAAATCATAATCACCATTAGTTTGGTCGGTATTGAAGTCATGGTTATTTAACACAATTACTCATGGACTCAAGGAACACACTGCATCACTTCACATTAGAAAATCATATGTGACCTTTATTTACCGTCATGTTGAACAGAACTTTAAAATAACTGAGAGAATAATATTCAAATATTGCAAAACACATTTAAGTACATGTATTTGTCAATGTGTTAACACATAAGTTACCACAGGGTGCAGCCTTTGATGATTCTTTTATCTTCATGTGCCGGAATTACCTGTCGAAGTGGATTGTAGGAGAATAGATATTGTAAATAATCCTAAATTTGCTTAAAAACAGTAGACAAAACTGTATAGAAACAAAGACTGTAGTTGACCTGTAGTGGAAGTTCACTGAAGCAGAGCTGTGAGACAGAGCTGATGTTGTGGTCTGGGTCAGAGGAAGCTCTAAAAGTGCTGCCCTACTTAAAACTCACCACAGTGAGAAATATTCATGTCAGTCAAACTCATCAAATTAAATCAGTTTAATAAGAATCATAATTGAGGAGTGTTTGGACCTAGTTTTATTCCAGTGCACTGCTGTGTTTTGCAGTGAGAACAAAGGCTGTTCTTTTCTACCCAGAGCAGTGGAGCTGCAGATGCAGGAATTCAACACTGAGTGAAACATGTAACATTTAAAAATATTAATATGTTGTGTTTGTGTTTCAGAGTGGTCACAAGCCCTGTGTACGAGTGTGGGAGGTGGGCGGAGCTCAGGTGTCTGAGGTTCAGTCACATAAATATGGAGTTTCCTGTGTGGCATTCTCTACCAACAGTTCCTACATCGTCTCTGTGGGATACCAGCATGACATGACTGTCAGTGTGTGGGACTGGAGGGTGAGCACACACTCATTCTCTCTCTCTCTCTCTCTCACACACACACACACATTAAATCACAGAATAATATACTAGTTATTTTCTATTTGTTCATGTCTGATTGTGATCAACTGATCAGCTTTTCTTCTCGTCTGTAAGCAGAAAGGTTCCATCATTGCCTCCAACAAAGTGTCAAGCCGTGTCTTTGCCGTCTCCTTCTCTCAGGACAACAGTTACTTTGTCACTGCTGGCAACAGACACGTGAAGTTCTGGTACCTTGACGCCTCTAAAGAACGACGGGTAAACTCAGGCAACACTCAGCCCAAACAGTCAGAACCTAAAGGCTTAGTCTAACCATAAGGCTTGTCCTTTCACTCAGGTAAACAGCACAGTTCCTCTGATTGGTCGTTCTGGGTTGCTAGGAGACCATAAGAACAGCATCTTTACTGGGGTTGCATGTGGGTGTGGCCTAATGGCATCCAGCACTTACTGCATCACCAGTTCTGGGCTGCTGTGTCTGTTCAACAGCAGACGGCAGCTGGAGTCCTGGGTCGACCTAAAGGTGGGTAAAAAAAAAAAGATGAAATAAAAACTAAACCCCTCAAAAATGAAATGATATTTATCTTCTATGATTGGGGTCTGCAACCTGTGGCTCCTGAGACACGTGGCCCTTCAGCCTCTTTGAATTGGCTCCCTGCACTGGACCAAGTTTAGTCTTTGCACAGTGACTGCTTAGAAAAATCATGACTGATGCATCAGAGTTGTAGTAGTAACATAATAATGTTCAGTTCAACAGGAGGAGGAGTTAGATACAGAATAATTATCTGGTTTGGCGACCCCTTAAGGAAGCAGTGGATTTCTTTTGTTTTAAACATTTCTTTAAGAAGATTTCCCTCTGCGTTGACAGACTTCTTCTGCGAGCTGCTTGGCCGTCAGTGACAACTTCATCTTCTGCGGTTGTGCTGATGGTGTGATCCGTGTATTCAGTCCGTCTAACCTGCAGTACATAGCCACACTGCAGCGACCACACCGCCTGGGAGTGGATCTGAGTCAGACTGTACCACAGGGGTGAGAATACTGCAGTAATACTCCATTGACTGCCCAGGGAAATCCCTGCTTGTACTCATGCCTGTCTCTGCCCAGCAGCCTTCTACCTGCCAGTCCAGGTGCTCACTACCCTGACACTTTGGCGTTGACCTTTGACCCTGCTGCCAACCTCCTGACTTGTGTCTACAATGACCACAGTGTGTACGTGTGGGATGTAAAGGAAGTGAGGAACGCAGCCAAGCTGTACTCAGCCCTGTACCACAGCAGCTGTGTGTGGAGCATTGAAGTGAGTATTACTCTAGTAGTACTGCTGCAAACATACTGATACTTGTGAGTAACTGTGCTTCAAGCAGCTGAGGTGTGGAACTGTTCATTAATTTTCATTCAGTCATCGAACTGGATTCCAAGAACTATGGGTTTGTGCTGTGAAGGGGTGAGAGTTCTAGTGGAGAACTGGTTCCTTTGACACAATTGTGTCCATGGAGGCTGCTCAGACTCCTCAGCATGTTTCTACAGAGGAAATATATACAGTATTTTTTTTATGTACCTGTGTTAAATGTTGTCATTTGCCTAATGTTAATTCAACTTCATACGCTGCATCTGTTCAAGGTTTTATTCTAATGAGAATCAACAAGACACATTGATAATGTAATCACCAGACTCTGTTCCCATCCCTGGTGCAGTGAACATGTGTATGTGTGTGTGTGTGTGGTCAGGTGTATCCAGAGCTGTCAGATGATTCTCAGGCCTGTCTGCCTCCGTCCTCCTTCTTCACCTGTTCATCTGACAACACCATCAGACTCTGGCAAACAGATGTGTCTGGTTCTGCTGCTGCAGCAGCACAGAAGAACCTTTACAGCAATGTAGGTTCTCACGCGCACACACACTGCACACTATGTACAGAGATGCATGAGAACACAGGGGGTGCTCAGAAACACACATTTTGTGGACTGTTGTATTTAATTTATCGATTGATTATGAATTCAGGACTTGCTGAAGATTCTTTACGTGGGTGAGAACACACAACACCTGCAAAACGATGGGGACAAAGGAGAGCTGCCAGGGGCTGATGGGAAACCTGGGGTTCGAGTGTTGGGAATAAGTCCCGATGGACAGCACCTGGCTGCTGGAGACCGATGTGGGAACCTGCGGTGAGAAACAGAGTTGTCTCATCAGAGAGGGGTCACAGAAACTCTTTTGACCGTAGAATGTGATTTGTGATTAAAAAAAACATTTTCAAAAACTGAAACATCTTTGCTTATCAATTAATTCAAAATATCTCCTAAACCTTCCATGTAATCACAGCTGCATGCCATTTTATTGAATGTCTTAAATTCTTGAATACATGATTTTTTTCATATATTTTGATTTATCCCTTCCTCAGTATTTTTGCTCTGCAGTTTCTTGATGAGATTGTGAAGATCGAGGCTCATAACTCTGAAGTGTTGTGTCTGGAGTTTTCACCAGCATCTACAGGTAATTGGCTGACTTTAAGACTTTCCAAATTTAAGACTGTTTAACCATGACTATCCAGCTGTGAGGTTTTTACCCCTCACTCACACCCATGTAATTAGGGCAATAGATAGTCCTGCATTTATTACATCTGTGTAATGACCAATAGCTCTGCTGTGTTTTTACTTCACGTGTGAAGTCAGTGTCGCTGCGCTTTTTTACTGATGTTTTATATATAGAATATAAAAATGTTGTTGACAAAGTTGTTCTTCATTGACATAACCTTCAGGTGTGAAGTTATTGGCATCAGCCAGCAGAGATCGACTGATTCACATCTTCAACCTGGACAAGAACTACAGCCTGGAGCAAACTCTGAACGATCACTCGGCCTCCGTCACAGCTGTGAAGTTCACAGGTCAGTGAGGTCATTGAAACCTGCTGTCAGTAACTGACCTGAGCTGGCTCTCTGGTCAAAATTTGTATTTCATATATTTAGTCCTGCTGTGTTGCCACTGGACCAGCTCTTCACCTCCTGAGTGTCTCATGTTTGTGAGTGTGTTGTTGTTGAACTGGTGGTGAAAAAGGCTGGATACTTGTTTTTTGTACTGTAAAAAGCTGTGGTTTCTATTGTTTGGTGTTAGATCCAGCTAAGCCTGATTTGTCTGAAGCTGTGTTGTTGCTGTTTGACAGAAACAAAATAAAGGTGAGAAATGTACTGTGTTCTCCAGGGGAGAGTCCTGAGGTGACCATGGTCAGCTGTGGAGCAGATAAGAGCATCTACTTTCAGACGGCAGAGCAGGTCAGTCGGCTGACATGTGCAGTCACTGCAGGAACCTGCTGCTGTATCTTCTTTTTTTAATGGTTGGTGTGTGGATGTTGTTGCAGACGGCGGAGGGCTTGTCTTTCTCCAGGAGGCACCATGTGGTGGAGAAGACGACTTTGTACGACATGGACCTGGACTCATCCCGGACACATGTGGCTGTGGCCTGTCAGGACAGAAGTGTCAGGTAATCACATGATGAGACGCCAGTGACTGCAGCATTAAACAGCTTTAAAAAAGCAGTTTGAAAATAACCATGATGCTGGTATTTGATTTTTCTTTTTTCTGATGTTTTTCTTAAGGGTTTACAATGTGGAAACAGGAAAGTTGAAGAAATGTTTAAAAGGTTCATCCAGTGATGAAGGATACCTGGTGAAGGTAAATGTCATGACTGACCTGTAGTGTTGTTTAACTGGTGCATCATTAATAACCTGCAAATAAGTCATATTTTAAATAAATGATAATACTTCTGGATGTTGTGTTTACACTCTACTGTGATATGAAATGTTTGGTTTGTCTATTCTACTTTGTCTCTATTTTACACTTGGCAGACTTTGGCTTTCAATGCTACCACCTGCTGGTTTTTCTATGCACTGCTCATAGTGACACCTCTGCTCATGTGATCAGTAGAGTGAGACTTTGTTGAACCTGTCGTGTGCAGGTTCAGATGGACCCTTCTGGAAGTTTCTTGGCCACCAGCTGCTCAGATAAAAACATTTCTATTTTTGACTACGAGTCAGGAGACTGTGTGGCTACGCTTTTTGGACACTCGGGTGAGTCCTGATCACCTGGAGGTGTGAGCAGGTCACACGTCTGTGTCTGTTCCAGATGTGTGACGTCTGTTCTCCTGTGTCTGTCTCCTCAGAGTTCGTCACATGTATGAGGTTCAGCCAGGACTGTAGACACCTCATCACTGTCTCTGGAGACAGGTATGGAGCCACGGTCTGCTGAAGGCTGTGGCAGTTCAATGACACAGTCACATACAGGATTTGATTGAAGGATGAAGAAAACATTCCATCATAGTGTTTTTGTAGCACATCGGTTGTACATTGTATTGCACTATTTTAAAAGGTCAAGAGTTGGATTTGTTTGTATTTCTAGTGTTTTTGACCTTTGACCTATCAGACAGTTCAGCTCTCATCCATCTGACTTTCCAACAGTTCCAGCTGGTTGAAGTGTGCTGCAGACAGATTGAGGGCCACCACATTTTTGTAAAACACTGACGTATGTGTGTGTGTGTGTGTGTGTGTGTCTTTTTGCATGTGCATACAAAGTTGTGTGTTTGTGTGGCGGTTGGACTCTCAGATGACTGCCACCATGAGAAAGAAACAGGACCTGAAGCTGAAGGTTGCACCTCAAATCTGTGGTCAAAAAGAGCTGAACATCAGGTGAGTTAGGTTAGAGGAGGATAAAGAGCAAAGGAGGAAGATTTGTTCAGACTAAATAATGTAACAATAACTCTCATGGTCTCAGGAGGGAGACCTTCATCACTGTTCCCTCCCTTCAGCTGCTGCAGAGAGAGCAGCACCAGGAGGAGCAGGAGGAGCTGAGTACACCGTGCAGACTGGACTCTGATCATGGTGAGATGAAATGTTTCATGTGTTGGGTGCAAAAGTTATGTTTTTGTTTTACATTTTTGTTAAAGAGAAGGTTTTTGTTAAGAATAATTTTAGTTGCAAATGATTGATAAATAGATAGATGTACATTTTAAATCCAGCATCACAGCAGAACAGTCGAGTTAGAGTAAAAACACAAGCAAGTGAAATGTGAATTTACACAAAATATGAATGTAAATGTTAAACATTGATCCCTGTCCTTTGATTGGACAGAGATAATATTCTCTCTCATCACATCACAACAGTTGAAATCGTAGATCAGGATGATGTTCCATTTGTCAAACCATCTTCGCCTTTGTTCCAGAAAACCCTGTGCTTCAGACCAATGGAAAACTTCCCATGTGGTTGAGAAAAATGGTTGGTCTGCTGTTTGACTGCTGATCATAACATACGCTGACAGATTGCCAGTCAGTGTCAGAGGTTAAAGGTTATGATTTCTGGATGTACAGCAGGGTCACGCCGCAGCCCCCGTTGTTGTCCAGACCAGTGATGAGCATCAGCAGGTGCGCAGTAAGTGGGCAAAGCAGATCAGCCCTCTGAACATTTGCTCCAACTGCTCCCCAAGTCCCACTCAGAGTCATGGGGAGGTAGAGGAGGAGGGGGAGGAGGAAGAGGGGGACGAGGCAGAATTCCATCCTCAGAGTCTGGAGAGTATGCTGGAGGAGGAGGAGGAAGAGGAGGAGGAAGCAGAGGTGAGTTTCACTTTAGATGAAATTAATGTATTCCTTACTATTTATTACTGTGAATCTATATGAATTTATTCATCTTAACTCAAAGCAGATTAAAAATCAGGTCTTAGATATTGTTTTTTAATAAACTACCCAGAATCCTAATGTTACTGTGGAATAAACTCCAATGCAATGGAAAGATTGAACAAACTGTGTTGCCGTTGCTCAGGTGTCAAAGGTTAAAGGTGAGGAGTGCAGAAAGTCCACCTCGTCTCCAAACAATAGCAGCGCCACAGACCGGTGAGAAATAAAGCTACACTGCTGTGCCTCTTGGAAACTGCTGTGTTTTAATCCTCATCATGTTCCAAAGGGAACTCAGTGATGACGTGGTGACAAACAGCCAGCACTCTTTGGTACAGCTGGAGGTCAAAGGTCAGGTGGTGCCGCCAGTGTGGAGCAGTCAGCTGAGTCCAGACTCTGCCTGCTCTGAAGGCACAGCAGGAAGTATGGACCAACAGCACGCCCCAGGTCAGAGCGAGTTTTTATTTTTAGGATTTCTGTATTTTTTCACTAAGAACCATTGAATATATTTACTACAGTGGCTTTGTGTTTATATTTGTGTTTTTATTGTCTAGTTTTCAAACTTATTTATTTTGCATATAATTTGTTGTTTGTTTCTTGTCCCTAATATTTCAGTGGGTGACCTGATGACACCAGTCATTGTTATTACTGTCATAGGAATCACATCACAAACTGCAATTTTCAACCTTGCGTGTGTATGAGCAGCAGACTGTAACATCCCCTGTCCTCTGGTCTGACAGACACAGACTCACTGAGTCAGGGCAGCTCTGTGGGAAGTCTGGGTCTGGAGGAGGATGACGACAGAAACCCCCTGGAGATTTACTTTGAGACCCTGGCCTCCAGTCTGGGTGAAGGTACAATCAACAACAATAATTGTGTGAAATACAACTGGAGAAACACAGACCACATATAAGACAACTGAGCCTCCAGGCGAATGCCACCCTTCTGTGTCTCAGCCACTCTCCTCCACACGTGTCCCCTGATCTTCAGCAGATCTTTTAACAGATCTGTCGCTGAAATTAGCTCCAAACAGATGTCTATGTCAAACCCTAATGGCTGTTGGTCAATTTAAGATAATGAATGTGGAGACAGATGTGCTGCTTTTCAAGATTATCATTTTATTTCAAAATTGTTGTTTCAATGTTTTTTATTGGCTGCTTCCCTGGCTGGGTTTATAATGGATTAAATGAATACCTGTGTGTTTTTAAATGAAGTCAATATTGTCATAAGAAGTGAAGGTAATTAATAATTAATTATGTTGTTGTGGTCAAAGTCAGGTAAGCATTTTACCCTTACTTTTCAGAAAAGTTTGACACTGACCTGGCAACCCTGCAGCCCTCAGAGGAAAAACACTTCCTAAATCCACGGCTTAGCATCTCAGCCCGCTTCCTGTCCCGTTTCCAGGACAGACTCAGGTCTGTACATGAGACTCGGCTGGTCGGTTGTGATGAAGTCTAACTTTGATGTTAATGTGATTGATGCATATTTTTCGGGGGGGTCTTGGTGATGTGTTCAGAGCTCGGCCCAGTCGTCCTCTGCAGATCGTCTCCATTCCAACCAGGATCTCAGAGGAAACCTTAGAGAACACCTCGGTACAGACCTACACATGCACACACTGAGAGTCCTCTGAGGAGCTGGAGTTGAAGTGGGCGTCTGTGTGTTCTACTCTTTTCAGGTGAACGTTTCTCCCAGCAGCAGCGGTACGTCCAGAGGGTCGGCTCGGAAAGAGCAGAGTGGAGGTGAGACGTCTGGGTGAATGAGTCCTGACGTGTGGAGTGAAAACAGTTCATCTTCACAGTTGAGCAGTTGGTTTAATGTCACAGATGTTGTTTAACAGAGTTTATTGGAGCAGCTGTTTCAGGATGTTAATGTCAGAGGAAACGGCCTGAATGTTAGAGAGGAGCTCTGAAAGGACAGGTGTGTGTGTGTGTGTGTGTGTGTGTGACCAACCCCAGTGAAGAACAACAGGTCCATCCACCTTCGAAGAGCCTCGTGTGTGATATCCCAGCAGCCCCCTCGTCAACCAACACGTCGACGAAGACACACTGTTGTTGTTGTCCAGTGCAGAGATGCAGTGGGAGGTGTGTGTGTGTGTGTGTGTGTATGTGTGTGTGTGTGTGGTGGGGGCATGGTGTTTAAATGTTTGTGGCCACATTTGGGTGTTTGGTGTCACCTTCTGGGTTTTTGTCCCTCCTGAAAAACTCACCCACTGGGCTTTCACACCGACAGGCCTCTCTGCTGGTTCCGGCTCTCAAACCATCCTTGGAAACTGTCGGCGCATTCAGATTGAATGAAAGCAAATGTCGGTAGCAACAGGATGGAAGCTAGCAGATACTCCATGCAATCTGGCATTTTGCTGTTGCAGTGACTCCTGCTATACCAGTGTGGTGACCTACGGCCACTTAAACTGGTATGAATGTGGGCTAGTTCACCAGAGGGCGCCAAGGTTCTCAGACTACAGAACACAGCTGGAGCTACAACCAGAACCAGTCTGTCTGGAAGCACCTACACTGTTGAAGTTGGTGTAAAACCACATCAGAGTCTGGTGCTGGTTCTGATCTTGGTGCTGGGATGTTGATATGCGGCTTTAATCCTAGCACAGGGTGAAGAAGAGAAATGTTTAAAATCCTATTATTTCATGTAGTATTGCCTGTTGGTGTTCTGCTGGACACATCAGAACATCCTGTCTCCTCTTCACCACTGAGGTCTTTTCTTCTTCAATTGTCTAATTTCCTGCTCTTTAACCAATCAGACATCACCTCCAGGAACGGTGTTGTGTCTGGTGTTCAGCAGAGGTCGCCATTGCTGGAAACAACACCCAGCCCTATAGTCAAAATGAGAAAAGAAGACTTGAAAGTATCTGAAACCTTGACTAGTCTGGACCACAGCGCCACCTGTGTGAAGAAGAGCAGCAGGTAACACCTGTGTGGTTTTTAACTTTCCTTAATTAAAATCATCCAACATGTTTGGTTTGTAAATTAAGTTTCCAGTTCATCATGATATAATTTAAGTTGGTACTTCATTTTGAAATTAGCTTTTTTTAAAAATTTACTTTGTGTTTTCATCCTTATGAGCATTTTAATGACTGTAACTTTAACTGTACAAATTGTCCTACCAAGTTATAGATCAACCTCTCCAGACATGAGTCACCAGCAGTGGTTTCACACTGACCTCTGGTGAGGTTAAACTGAATAATTGACTGACCTCTGTCTTCTGTCAGTGTTGATCTGTCTTCACAGAAGTCTCCGTCTTGTGCTTCTACTAAGACCCTATGCAAGTCAATGGCCACACCCAGCAGGGTGGTGTCACTAGGTGGAGACAGCAGGTGGAGCCCCAACAGCAATGAGGAAACACCAACAAATGCAAATCAGACGATCTCTGCAAACTTGGACCCTACGCCCACTCCCTCATCCACCAAATGTCACCTGATGACCTCTGACAACCTCACCTGTCCCTCTGACATCCCCAGCTGCTCTGTCTCCAGGCTGGACAAAGGTCAAGGTGAGACCAGAGCTGAATGAATGTCTGAAGTTAAGATGATTTGTCTGTAATTTTTTCCAATTAACTCCTTTGTCTTTAACTGTCCCCGGTGGGCTTCTGTACCTTTCTACTTTCTTCTTCATATGGTTGAATGAGGCGTTACCTTATCGCCCTCTTCCGGTCAAATAAAGCATTCACAGTGTAATTAAACGAGTGTTTGTTTCAGATGTAGAGTCTGAGAAGCAGCTGATTGTCCAGCAGGTGGCAGACCAGCTGAGAGAGACAACCAGACAAGCCGTTCACCTCTACCAGCAGGTGTGTCATACGTTTTTTTTTTTTTGGTTTTTCTTTTTTCTTTTTAAGAAAACTTGACATCAACTCTGACTGACATTGATCCCCAACTCCAGCAAAAATGTTTTTGTTTTTCTCACAACTGCTCTCTGGAGTATCTGTGAATCTACTCTGACTGTTAATATTGGACCAGTTGTCATCAAAGATTTCTCTTCTTCATGTTCCTGCTCTTTTTTGCTATTTTTTTCCTGTAGTTCACCCTTTCACCTGAGGTGGCGCAGCAGCATATGCAGATGTCAACCATCCTAAAGGAAGCGTTTGATTTTGTTCTCTGCGAGCTGCAGACGGTGTCACACAGTCCCAGCAGAGGTCCTTCAGATGAACTGGGGGACAGAGGGTCACTGTCTCTCCTGGAGAAATACTCTGAGCTGCTGGTTCAGATGACCAGGGAGAAACTGAACCAGTTCTAATGCACTAGAGCGGACTGTGTGCTGTCTAAACAGTTCACATGAAGAAGAGACTGGTTTTGCATCAGTATTAAACCCATGCACCTTATTTTTGTTTTGTTTTTACACTTTCACTGTTTGTACATAAGCCGTAGTTTTTGTGTTCCTTAATAAATGTTAAAATTCAAATCTGGACTTTCTTTTCCTTAGTTTTAGACACAAAACTTTCCACATCAGGTCAAGCGCCAACAAACCCTAACCTAACAAACCCCCCTAAACCCAAGTTTTTAAAGTATTGGCCAACCTATATTTTCGGCTAAAATTAGCATAATTATATAATATTGGTAAGAATTGTTATTGTATATATCCTTTTTCCTCCAATAATGAAAACCTGATAATGCAATGCCTGGGTATGCACACGTTACACACCTTCTGTGTCCTTTTTCTTTGCTGTTACCTAGTGTCTGGAGTCAACTTTGGAAAAGGATTTTCTTCAAACCAAAGGGATGTAGTTTTGATTCACACCTGAGGCAAACTCTCCAAAAGTCTTTCATATTAACGCGGTGTAAAAGTTCGGACTGTTTTACTCCACTTAAAGAACCGACTCTTTGAACTCATCATTCCTCTAAAGTGAACAGGTCACAAAACTGGTTACAACAGCAAAGTTATTTTCTCAGATCATCTTGAACACTGGCAGTGAAGTGTTATTAACCTAAAAATACATTAAAATAAAATAAGTTGTGAGAATAATAAGACATATGCTTTTAAACTTAATTTTTTTTCTCAATGTTAAAAAACACGTTTACAGTTGACAATGTTAGTTTTTATTTGTTTTACACCAGTGGAATCAGACGGAGTTAGTTTGTGATTTTACTCCAAGAGAAACCTTCCTGCTGGGATTGTTCTACGATGTACTGTAGTCTGGGAAGAAGAGATGGAAATTGGAATAAAGGAAGTCATTATGGGAAAAAACACCAACACAGAGTTTTCATACACTGTTAAATCCATCAGTGAGAGAAAAGGAGATTTCTGTGAGCTTCATCTACTGACTGTCTGTTCTACTCTAATTTATCCTGTCTTTTTGTGCCTTGTCCTTTTCTGTCATGTCCTCTCCTATATTTTCACCTGTCCTGTCATATCCTATCCTGTTCTGTCCTGTCTTTTCCTCTCATGTCCTGTCGTTCTACTTCCTCTCAGTCCATCAGTTGTCTCTCTCTCTCTCTCCGTCTCTCTTTCAGTCTATTTCTCTGTCTCTGTCTCCGTCTCAGGTTGTCATTAAATCAGACTCTTCCATCTCTTTCGACCTGAACTCTGTGTTCAGCGTGTAAACCGATCTGATGGATTTTTCAGCTCCAGGTTGTTGAAGTTCAGGTCAACTGTTGGTCACAACCATCAAACTCACGGTGGCTCCACCTGCTGTATGTGTTTAACACGTTTTCTTTTCTTTTTCCCTGTAGCCCGTCTATCTGACTGCAGCTGCTGTGACCAGACAGACACCCAGAAACGAAACGAAACAGTCTGTCTGCTGAGGCTTCATTATGTTTGTCCTCATCTGTGAACTACATCAGGAGCTGGAGCTGGAGCTGGAGCTGGAGCTGAGAGGATCAGAACTGGATGGAGGAGAGCAGAACTCTGGATTGGACTCTGGAGCTCCTCTGTCTCATGACCTCTTCACAGTGAGCAGCAGGACCTGGTTATCCATCAAACAGCAGCAGACTTGTGTGTGTCTGCACCCAAACACCACAGTGTTGACTTAGTATCAGTGTGACCTCGCACACATCTCTGCGCTGCGCCTCGGGTCGGAGCAGCAGACACAGGAAAGTTAGTCTGGGAGGGCTTTTTCCCACCAGATGAAGTGAAGGAGTGAACAGATGATGTTAATCTGTCGCACAGACCACATCGTGAAAACAACTTTACACTCCATAATTTATACTCTGAACACAAGTGGCTGTCACATAAACAAGACACATAAACAAGTCCACCACAGTACACTGCACAGAAGCTGCTGATCCACACAGTCTGTGACCTACTGATGGACTGGGCATGTGGAACGGGTGACTGAATTATAGCCGACTGTCAATCACACACAGTGACCAGTCATATTCATATTCAGCCTCCTCGTGTATTTTCATTGATTTTATTTTTTTGTCTTTGTTTCTCTTAAGTGGCGCTTTGGCCCAGAGGCAATGTCTCTGTCATTGGTGTGGAACCCCTTCCAGTGGACTCGCCACCTGCAGGAAGGTTCACGAGCGGCTGGGACGGTACGGATGGATCATTGTCCTGAAGACCACCTCTCCCCTCCTTTTTGGTGCTTAAAGTAGATGTAAAGAAGGAGAAAATCATTCTCAACCATAAATGTTCTGAAGTCTTTGTCCAGAACAGAATGCTGGAGCAGCTCGGTCCACTTCTTACATATGATCTATGGGTTGGCTTCATGAGTGAATGTTTCCATGTCGACCATGTAAATACACTGCTCCATCTTCATCCTGTGTATAGACTGACGTGCAGCCATTTTAATGCTCCAGTGAATGTGGTATGAATTAAATCTATTATCACTCACGTCAGACTAAAAAAAACCCCGAACTGTTTCTTTTAGCTTCAGTTTTCGGTGTGAAAATATTCTGAGTAAACACTGACTTCAGGGAAAAGAGGGGAAGAGAGGGTGAGAGCAGCGGGGAGTGTCAGGGGGAATCCTCCAGGCTGAAAGACGCCGGACTCTCAGGATCGGAGTCACCTGATCTCAGCCACTGAATCATCAACTGCCTCCTGACTGGTGACCACTGTGGGTCATCAGAAGGTAGAGAACCAGGACCACTGCAGGAACACAGAACTTCACGACGTTCTCCTCTCCACAGCCACACTGTCAAGGTTCTGGGATTCTACTCTGGAACATCTCGCCCCGACTGGGAATCATGTTTTGCCTCCAACACATAATTAGAGGAGTGTCTAGAACGTTCTACAGAGTTCTGTTTCAGTCATCACACTCAGAGCTGTGACACAGAAATGTTCCTCTGGATGTCAGAGCGAACACTGAACAAACCAGAAGAAACAGGACGGAGGTAGAAAGTCACAGGCTCACGGTGGTCTCATTTCAAGATTCTGGTCATTCAGGGTCCGAATCAGAGCAGAAGGCTGTCTGTCAGGTACTGGCTACCACTGCTGTCCTACTGATGTCCCAGGGGCATCACTGCTGTCTCAGTGACATCATCACCTTGGACTGTGGTCCTGTCATGGATATCTGTCCTCCACGTCAGCTCAACACATCTTCTCAACTGACTCAGTCTTGGACCTCCAAGTTGTCCAAGTTGTCCACATTGCCAAAGTGATGTAACGGACAACGGGAGTCCAGAAGCAGTGAGCCAGGTCCATGACTCACCTGTGGTTCTGTGTTCTTCACCTCAGCAGCAGGTGCTGTGAGTTTAAACTTTACTGTTTGACCTCTGCTGCTTCCTGTCCAACATCACAGTCACCTCTGCCAGGGAGAGAGATGCCAATGCAAATGAATGAAGACATGGAGAGGCGGAGCTGAGCCAGCTGATGAAGAGTCCCAGTTCTGAGGGGGAGGGGCTAATCTAGAGGGTCTGCTGTGGATCTGACCACCAACCTTCTCAGCACACCCTGGCTGTGTATGAGTGTGTATGTGAGGTGCTGGCTGAGATGGGGGTGCAGTGTGAGGTTACATGACATCACTGTGAACAGAGAAGGTCGTCACTAATTAAAGGTCGCGTGGGCTGAGGGGGGTTTTTCCATCATTATTGGCCTGTGAGCTGCAGTGTCATGACTATTATTAACCCAGGTGTGTTTTCTCAATGATCCAATCCTCTGTCCTGAATGAATGGAGGGAGGCAGGGAAGAGGGGAAGAACGGAGGTCGTCCGGCCCCGGGGGGGGCAGGCCACCATGGGAGAGAGGGCGCTGTAACCATAGTAACTGCAATACAAAGAATAAAAAAAAAGTGAGGATATGACCATTATCCATCCTTTGTCCCATGGGTTTTCAATGAGAGGTCTGTGGGCCACGGGGTGTCCGTTGTGATGCTGCAGAGGAGCAGGAAGTTTCAGGTTGATTAGACAATTCTCATATTATTTTTGCTGATGTAATTGTAATGTAAGTGTTGTAATTATTGATTACAGTTGATCTTTTTTGTGTGTGTGTGTATTTTGACCATAGACCATGTGACTGTTCAGTGGTGAAAATCCAAATACACAAAACAATATTTGTGTACAATGTAATATTTGTATTCTACAGTCCACAGAACATTGCATGTTAATTTACTTAACCTTAAAATAAGTGAACAGTGACCTGCAGCAAGAGGAGGTGGAGGAGGAAGAGAAGGAGGACAAGGAGGAGAGGAAGGAGGCGTGATGAGTCCCCTGAGATTTCATTAACAGGTAATAGGACTGATGCTGAAATTCCACACTCACACACACACACACACTGTTTGGAAAAGAAGTACAGGACATGATGTCACAGGAGCGAAGGCAGCTGATTGGACAGCAGATTCCCGGGCAGCTGCTATAAAACCTGATATGAAGCCACGAGAAGACGAGACAACACAGAAAGACAGAGAGATACAGAGACGCTCCTCCTCCTCGTCTTCATAGAGTCCACTGCACACTCAAGGTAGGTGTGTGTCTGTATCTGTGTGTGTGTGTGTGTGTGCGTGCACATGCACAGGTGCACACAGGTTCAAACTGAAACTCTTCTGCAGCAGGTTTCATTTGAACTGCTCAAATGTTGTCTTTTACATGAGACTAAAAACCTCAGGAACGCTTCTGTGTCAGACGCTGCACATTTGAAATGTTGACATTTTAAAAAAAAATCTTTAGTATAGACTTAAAGCCTGTGTAAAGCCTTGTTTTTGTTTCCCCTAGTCCTAGACCAGTGAAGTTATTTTGACATTTTCTGCCTCCGTGGATACAACCCACCGACAGGTGCATGAAAATCCATTAGTTGCAATTGTTGAAACTTGAACTTTGACCTAAGCCTTTAACGGTCCCTCCTTATTTCCACCTACACAACGGTCCAAGTGTCCACTCACACCTCTGGATATTCTCTTTAAAATTAGACCCAGTTTCTTTTGCTGCACCACAGGGAAGAAACGGGATTCATGTCAACTTCTGTGTGTGTGTGTGTGTGTCTACAAGAATCTGTGCATCATAAAGAATCTGTGTGACAAGATTTGTTCCTATGTGAGTTAAGTGTGTGTGTGTGTGTGTGTGCACGTGTGCATCCTGTGGGGAGTTAGAATGCAGTGAAGTGCACGGAGATCGTGCATGTGATGGTGAGAAGGCGTTTATTTGCAGGGATGGAAAATGCTAAAATTAGCCGATGTTGCTGGACAATACACTTTACCCCATCAACTGAGCTAAAACTGTCTTCGCTGTATGTGTGTGTGCGTGCTCTAGGAGGCATCATGGTAGTTGAGGTTCTTGAGAAAATCTCCTCATTATTTACTGCAGGTACTGTCACTCAGCTAAAGTAGTCATTATTTGATCCTTTGATTTGCAGATTGATTCATATTTTGATTCCTTCATCCTCCAACAGTCTGGACAAAACACACCTCCTCTCCGCAGCACGTACTGGAGACAGGAGACACCCAAGTACCTCCAGAGGTTCTGAACCAGTTTCACTGTAGTTTCATTTATGCTTTTTGGCAGACACTTTTATTTAGTGATTTACCTGAGGAGGATTAAGAATATGGCTTTAACTGGGGCTGGAACGCACAACATTATACTTGTAAAGCAGACGTGATAACCGTTGCACTATGGAACGGTTTATCCTAAACTGTTCCATGTGTCAAAAATGTAAGGGGTTGGTTTGACTTTCTCTTTGGGAAATTAAGGATTCCTAAATTCCCAGCATTTGTTGAAATGCAGCCCCAAACCTTCAAAGAGCCTCCAGCGTGCCACAGTCACAGACACCGAACAGCGTTGCCTTGTTTGTCTTTGAGTCCAAAGGTTTTACTCCAGAACTTTTTCTGTTTTCCTTCGAAACTTACTTAATTTTTTTTCTGTGTATTTGAGTCGCTTGGTCTTGTTTCCATGACAACGGTTGTTTTCTTTTACAACAATTCTCTGATGGAGACCATGTTTGTCCAGACTTTTCTGGACAGCAGATATAGTGGAACCTGGGTCTAAGTGGTTCCTGTCAATGATAGTTCTGCCGGATTTCTATATGATTTGTGACATGAAGTTGTCTCCAACAACCTCACCCTGTGATCAGTGGAGGAATGATAGTGAAAGAACAACAGGAAATACTGTTGTTGTTATAACAATGTTGTAAGACATCAGTGCTTGTCACCCTTGTTGTTGTAGATGACGTCCTGCAGCTGTCTGCTGTTCACCTGCCTGCTGTTCATCACTGTGCTGCACTGCAGCGTCAACAGCTTCAGAGTCCAACATCAGGTTAGACACACACACACACACACACATCCTATCAAATCACTGAAGCAGCCAAACCGCGAAACAGCCCCTCCCCTCTGAGGCCCCCGGTGCCAACATCAGCTGATGAAGAAGTCTGAATGGAACCTGAGCGCCTGAATCATCAGAGCCCACGGGCAGACAGGAAGTCAGCCTGTCGGGGTCATGATGTAAGAGGTGATGGCGTCTTGACGTAAAATAATAGTGAGCTGAGCAGGAGGCTGAACTGGACAGAAGTCAATGTTATCAGTGAGGAGACGCCCTGAGAGAAAACAGCACAGGTCAGAGGTCAGAGTGTGAGCAGCAGTAAGGAGGACCAGACCATTGATGAAGACTTTCAACTAAAAGAAAATCAGAAAAAAAAAAAAAAAAGAGTTTGCTAACTCTGTACTTGGTCTGTGTGTCGCAGCATGTGGACCGGTCCTTGTTCAGGCCTCTTGTGGCTCTGAGACCTAATCCTGCAGGAGTGAAGAGGGAACGGGGAGCGGCGAAGCTGCTGCGGATGGACGACCTGGTGAGGATGGAGAACGATGTCATGGAGCCAAAAAGAAAAAGGAGTTTCCCTGGCAACAGCTCACCACTGGACCGCCTGTCAGTCAGCTCCATGGATAGCAAACAGCCAACAAACAAGCAGAGGTAAGAGGAGGAGTGAGTGGCTGTGATTGGCTGGGAGACAACACCTGAGATTCTCAGTGTGCAATTGTATCAACGACAGAAAGAAATGAAAAATGACTGAAAAAACCCATCTGTAAATTTATATAAAGCCAACTCAGCACCACCTACAGGCCAGGTCAGGGAGCTACATACTCAGACTGAACAGAGGTGGACACTAAACTCAGAAATGTGTGTTTCTGTGTGAACAGCAAAGTCGTGGAGTTGCCACGACGACGAGTCAACCCTCCGCCCATTGACAGAATTGGCATGAGTCGTCTACCAAACAGAGGATAGGCAGCGACTGATCCAACAGAGAGCCTGGCCCTCTCAGTAGCTCTCCCCTCTGACCTGGTATAGTTACTGCAACAATCCTCTATATTCAAATAGCATCCAAAAAAATCAGAGTGGTCCTTTACCCCCCTTTTTTTCTTCCTGTCTCTGCAGATTATCCAGCACTGACACATTTTGACAAAGCCAGTCACAGACTGGCAGTAACCTGCTAGAACACGCCCCCTTACCTGCACATCACCTGTCGTTCACATGTCTAAGGCCCCTCACAGCAATGAATGTTCCATAATGATGCATTCAGGTGCTGTTCTGTACATTTATTTTACGCAGGACCATCAGGACCAAAGAAAGATTTTATGAGACAATGAAAGGCTTTTCTATTCACACCTGATCCAATTCCAGGTCAGGGTTCACCGCTACACAAAGTCTTAAGACCAAACAGATAAAAACACAGCATTAACTGATATTCACATTTATTTACATTTAACAGTGTGACTGTGTGAGGAGTCGACCCAGAGTTAATTGGACTGTGTGATGAAAAAGTTGTTCAAAAGTTCCTGATTAACTAAAAATTAGCATGTTAGCTGAAAAGATAAACGCCATCCGAGAAACAGCTGAATATTTGAAAAACACCCCAAATATAGAAGCAAACTGAGAGCCTACCTTTGTTTCAGTGGGTTAACATTAAGGATGCACTGATCGTGAAAGTCCTGGGCCGATACCAAAGTTTTTTCTTTTGTTATTTATGCCCTCTTCAGAGCCACAGAAACATTACTGAACTGTTCTAAAAGTCTTTCAGCTCTTTATTACACTATTCTTGAATGAGCACAAATTCAATTAGACAAATGTATAAAACCTTTAATGTCAATTCAGTTGACATTTAAGGATCAATTCACATGACAAGGTTTTTTCTGAAGAATAACTTTAAAAACCGCTTTCAGACTGCTAACTGATCAATGAGAAGATGTTTTCCTGTACTCCACAACAAAATACACCAAGTGTAAATGTAAAAACAATCTGAAAATAATTAAAATGTATTACTAAGATAAATATTGCTACTTTTCACTTTGTTCATTTTCTTATACTGAATACAACATTTTTTAACAGGCTGGAACTTGGACCATCTTTATAAAACAACACTGGACTGTTTCCAGTTTTTTTTGACAGTGAAGGTATTGACATTAAGGTTGTCAGTCAGTGTGGTTGCCATGGCCATTGTTCCTGAGGAAGGTGGGTGGAGGTGTGGGTATGCATGTGTATGGGTGGTGTGGAGACATAGCGAGAGAGACAGAGAAAGAGAAAGAGAGAGAGCGAAAGAGAGCGGAGGTAGGAGTTTTGCACAGTGAATATTACGAGTTGTTATGTTGTTTCGGTGTTGACTACAGCCTAGATTCACTTGGTAATCATTTTGTGCCCAGGAATGGCATACAATTGTTTTTCAAAATTGTATCTTTTTTTGCATGCTTCTCATTAAATAAGGGCATTTAAAAAACAATTTTTGAATTATTTTTTTAAAACATTTTTATCAAGATCTGAACCTTTTGTGTAATTTTTCTGGTCAAATGCTAATACAATTGGATGGGAATTATTGATGTTATTTTGTTTTCATGTTTCTCATTAAATAACGGCATTTGGAGAAAACTCTTAACATTTTTATTTATTTATTTTTTGTAAATTTTTCATTGTTCAAAATGTCGGCTATCAGGAACACGCAAATTAATGAATTCTTCAGTCCAGATTACTACAATTTCCAGACATTGTGAATTATCAAACAGCACAATTAATGCTCAAAACAATTTGTTGGCAATAAATATACAGAAATCATTCAGTATTCATGAGGGGAGTTATAACCTAAGGGGGGGGAATTAACTTTGACTGTAATTCACTCTCTATGACCTAATCTTTCACTGTGAACTAATCTTTCGCTTCGTTCTCGCAGATTCGTTTTATTTGTCACGTGAAAGAGCTCGGGTCTTTTTTGCTCTCATTCATCTTCACATTGTGGTGTGTTTTTATTTCTTAGCTTTTCGCATGGTTTTAATTGCTTATAGCATTTTGTGTACTTTGTAGACTTTGTCAGCGGAAGCAAACCATGTTGCCTTCAGTATTTAGTGTCGGAGAACCGCAGCCTTCTTTACAACGCCCACAATAGGGCTAAAGCGCCACCTGCTGTAAAATGAATGAATGAACTTCAAGATTCGTTCACGACTCGTTCATTTTACTGTTCGAGAGTCAAAAATTCGAGTCAATAAAAAGAGTCGGTCTTCCCATCACTATAATGCATTATTATGAAGACACAGTGCCGGAAGTATACTCATTGCTTCCGGTTGTTGTGTCAAGCAATCTTGTTCGGCCTAGTTCGGCTCGGCTCGGCCTAGGTCGGCTCGGTACAAGCGGCACCTGCAGGTCCAACCACGGTGGTGAAAGTGATCGTTACGGCGGAGTAAAGATGGCGGCTCCTGCTCTCCCCGGTCGAACTAGCTCGGCCGGCAGCCTCGGGAACAGCCCCACCATGGGCGCAGGGAGGCTGCCGCACAGCGGCGGCGTTGGGCCCGAGCTCGACTTTAGATCGGCGGCCCGCATGGAGGACCTTAATCGACTCATCCAGGAGTTCAGCAAACACGACCAGCGGGAGTACGACGACCAGCGGGCTCTGGAGATCCACACGGCCAAGGACTTCATTTTCTCCATGCTGGGTGAGAACACGGACACAAATACACAGACAGACCGTTATTCTCCTCCTGTGTGTTGACTTTCAGCCAGGGTTTAGGATTTTTTTTTCTACCACAGCATCATCACAGCTGGAGGATGCAGGGTCAGATTACATTTGTGAGCAGCGCTGATTTTTAACATCTCTATGTCCTAGAATAAGAGTCGAATTGCATCGAATGTCTGAAAGTGTAAAATCGTGGGCCCGGCACTTAATATATTATGTTAACAATATTAAAATATAGACCATAGAACATTTATTATCTACGGAGGCCTGCAGGAGAGTTTGGCTGGCGAAGAAAAAAGCAAGTTTGTCTCCGGAATATATCAGTAAATTGATGCTAGATTCTGTTGTGTTATAAAATGAAGTTTGAGATATTTTATAAACAAACCTCTGTGTAACCTCTGACGTCTGTCATTATTCACACTGTTTTCACAGTTTTTCTGTATTTTATTATCTGCACTAGCCTATTTAAGTATTTATTTATTATCTCAGCTGCAATATTTCAAGTAATGTTACCTGCAATCGACCTCTAGTTTTTTATATAAAGGATGGAAGATCCCTGAGTATTTTCTTTTCTTCTTTTTTTTTACCTCAATGCTAACTTAAATTGAGAACAAGTCCTCAATCCAGCCCATATCTATATATCTCTAGAGACCAATCTGTCAATATCTTTCCAAAAGCTGACTGTAACAAATGATGGACTACAGCTGATGAACAACATAAAACATGTATCCAGGGGCCTCAGAGAAAGGAGGCCACATTTGATTGTCCAGGGATTTGTAGTAGGAGAAAAGAAGCAAATTTAGGAATTCAGTCATGGTGTGAACTGCGTACAAGTACAAGTGATATTTTTTTACCCCATTGGTTCATAATTCTTGTGGATGTGGTTGACGTTCAAATCATCTTCAGAAATGTTATGTAATCTCTGCAGTAACAAAGCTCATGTTGGTTTGAAGTGTTTAAGGGGTTCTTTGATGTCAGGCTAACGTAGCCTACTTGGACCCTTAAATGATGCACTCCTGCTGTTGTTAGCACTTGTCATGAACATGGGACAATATTTGTTTATACTCAAAGTAATTTGAAATACTAAGTTGTACCAAATTAATTATTAATTAAAACAAAAACGTTCTGTTACTTTAACACAACACTTTTTGTTTCTTTTGTCCTCTGCCTCAGGAATGGTCCAGAAGTTGGACCAGAAACTCCCGGTGGCCAACGAATACCTCCTCCTTTCAGGAGGCATTCGAGAAGGTGTGGTGGACATGGACCTGGACGAGTTGAGCATCTACGCCCGTGGAACAGACTACGACATGGACTTCACTTTACTTGTCCCTGCACTCAAACTCCACGACAGGAACCAGCCGGTGACCTTGGACATGAGGCACTCGGCTCTGGGCCACTCTTGGCTGAGTCTTCGACTTTTTGATGAGGGAACCATCAACAAGTGGAAGGACTGCTGCACCATTGTGGACCACATCAACGGCACCACCAATTACTTTTTCTCCCCCACGCTGGTAGCCGACTGGTTCTACCAGTCCATTTCTCTTGTGCTGCTCGAGGTGCAGAAGAAGCCGCAGAGAGGAATGCCAAGGGTAGAGAAGGTGGAGAGGAACGGCACCATCATCTCGGTCATCCTCGGCGTGGGTAGCAGTCGTATGCTCTACGACATTGTCCCGGTGGTGTCGTTTAAAGGCTGGCCTGCTGTGGCTCAGAGCTGGCTGATGGAGAACCACTTCTGGGATGGGAAGATCACAGAGGAGGAGGTGATCAGTGGCTTCTACCTCGTCCCCGCCTGCTCCTACAAAGGTCGAAAAGAGAATGAATGGCGCCTGTCGTTCGCTCGCAGTGAGGTCCAGTTGAAGAAGTGCATCTCCTCCAGCCTGATGCAGGCCTACCAGGCCTGTAAGGCCATCATCATCAAACTGCTGTCCAGGCCCAAAGCCATCAGCCCCTACCACCTGCGCAGCATTATGCTGTGGGCCTGCGACCGGCTCCCTGCCAACTACCTGGCGCAGGATGATCTCTCCGCCCATTTCCTGCTCGGCCTCATCGACGACCTCCAGCACTGCCTTGTCAACAAAATGTGTCCCAACTACTTCATCCCCCAGTGCAACATGCTGGAGCATCTGTCAGATGAGACAGTCATGCTGCACGCTCGAAAACTCTCCTCGGTTCGCTCTGATCCTGCTGAGCACCTACGCACCACCATAGAACATGCCAAGGCCGCCAACAGGCTGACAGTGGAGCTGCAGTGGCGGGGCAGCTCAAACAACCTGCCATCACCACAGTCAGATGCCAGTGGGGAGAATCAGCCCGACGACCGTCTCGCCAAGAAGCTTCAGCAGCTTGTCACAGAGAATCCAGGGAAATCCATCTCTGTCTTCATCAACCCGGATGATGTCACACGGCCACACTTCCGAATTGACGACAAATTCTTCTGAGACAGAGGAATGTTCTCCTTTTCTCCTCATCCTCTTCCTGCTGTCCATCTTTCTACCTGTGCCCTTGTTTCCCTGAAACATTTTTTTATTACATTTTTTTAAATGTTTCTCTGTCACAAAGTGAAGTGAGTTGGTTGTGTTGTTGCATTCACCAGTTTTTTTATTTTTTTATTTTTCTATTCCTGTCTCCTTGTTCCACTTCTTTCACTGTGTGCCCTGTTTTTTTTACCTGCTTGATGCCTTTTAAGTAGATGGCCTGTTATTTAAAGATGAGTGAAAACTCACAGTGAGGTGATTTTGTTTTTTTTTATCAAGGGTCAGATTAATTCCTGGATTGTGTTTGCAGCTGGAACATTAGTTCCTCTGAAGAATGTCTTAGTCCTGTTGAGCGACGATGGTACTAACTAAGTGTAAATATAGGAAACGACTAAAGACTTGTGTGTAGACAGAAGCCGATGTAGATGCTGGTGATGATGCTGTGTGGACTCTTTGTTGTCTAACGTTGCACAGAATGTAGAAAAAACCACACTTCCCGATGGTGGACATGTTGTTTGTCAAGTTCCAAATGATGTATCATATCTTTAGTCATGTGACACTTTATTGTGAATTTTAATGATAAGTAATGGCTGGAACAGCAGGAAGTACACAGTGACACTGCTGTCGTACATCACCATCAGATGTTCCTCTTTACTTCTTTGGTCATGTACATGCACGTTGTTAGGTCAAACCCAGTGATGTGCTTTTGGGGAGTGCGTGAAACATTAGCATTCTTGTTCCGTCCGCTGACTCATTCCTTCCTTAGCTAGGGATGTAACGATACACTCAGCTCCCATATGGTTTTAACTCATTTTTTTAAACAAAATGAGCTTCAGACAAATTATGCCCAAATACAATGATCCTTTATTTGCAGGTACAGTACTACGCAGAATTCTGTAACCAACGGAAACGGTCTTGTGTTCCTCATAAACTGAAATTGTTATCTTAAATAACAGAATCCAAAACATTTACATCAGTGCACATCACCAGTTATCTCCTCTTATAAAAACCAAGGCTTGGTCTTATTTACCTGGCTGTCAATGTATGAAGTGACAAAAAAAGTAAAAGAAATATTAACTGGAAAGAGTTCCTTTATTTACAGGAACAACGTTAAACATTGTTTGTGTCTGTGAAAGGAGTTTTTCCCACGTTCTGTTTGAACACCTGAATGACATGACGTCTTGGTTTAACACCAGGTCACAACCAAGGTTTTAGGCGCATACCGCGTAGTGTGACCAGTGACTTTTTTAAATATTGCAGCCTACTCTTTACGTTTGATCTGCGATTCATTGTTTTTTCAACCGATGCTAATTGTCACGCATATTTTGCCCCTGAGAATCCACTTAGCGTCCACTCATTTGAGCTTTTACGTCTGTAAATAATTAATAATTAATCAGAAGCTGGATTTCCTGCTGCTCATTGATCAGACCTGAAAAACCCTCACTCCAGAAGGGTCTGGTGTTTGGATGATGATGGCGATGGTGATGTTCCAGCAGCATCACTCTGTATTGACTCTCAGGTTAATCTGCTACGTTCTGACCATCCTCACAGATTATCACTAGCACCACTTGTTTTTCCTCTCAGTCCCATAACGCTGTGTTCTCTTTGATGACACCTTGGGTATGTTTCCTTTTACTTTGTGGCTACTTTTTAATGTAAACCGTTGAATCAACCATCCAACTCAGGATACACCAGGCAGATTTATTTTGACGTTCTCAGACACAGGTTCTGTAGCAGGAGAACACGGCCAACTAGTCAAATGTTTTGGTTCTCGGACATTTCCAGTAAATCAGAACCTGGTTATAGATGTGAACACAGACCAACACTCATGCACCATGGCAGCTGAAGACAGACCCAGCTCCGAGGCCAGTCATTAGTTTACTGTATGTCAGGAAGTGTTGCCTCTCAGAATCATTAGAGATGTTTGTATTCTGAGCTGGTTGTGTTGAATCACTTTTCTTTGCTGTAAACCTTTCCAACAAAAGGAGGAAACCTGCAGACATGACTGACAAGATCATCAAGGCATTTACCCCTCATCCTCAAGTGCAATTAGTGAAAACACACACTCACACTTGTCTCTTTGCCGTTGTTTAAATACTATTAGATGGTACATTATTTAAACCTACTAACCTCACCCTGATGTTTTCCGCAAAATGCCTTACTTTCACCTTTGACCCCCAAAGTTGACACCTTTCAAAGCCCCTTTAAAGTGTTGGCATCCTGGTAAAAATGTGCTGTCATTGACAACGTGTTTCTTTTTTAATTTTTAACCAAAACTCATTCTCATGTGTGTGTGTATATATATATGTATATATATATATATATACATATACATATACACACACACACACACATATGTCATGTAGGTAGCACAGAGACACTGAGGCTGTGTTCACTGTTTTCACTCTGGTTGGATCCAAACAAACCCTGCTGGGTCACGTGATTAGTGCTGAAACTTGGTGTCATGTGTCATGGTGTCATGATTAAAAATGTCAGACCAGAAAATCGTTCATTTTCTGCTTTGGTCCAAACCAAAGGTGTGAACACAGACCTACTCAAGTTTACACTGGTTGTGATGAAGACACGTCCAGGTCACTATAGTCACAGTGAGATGAAACCGAGGTTCTACAGACCATTAAAGTACCTCACACACACACACACACGCCTGATCAACGTGTCTGTTCTGAGCTTCAGGACCTTCCACCTCTGTTTTCAGAACCTTCTACTGTGAGTTCTTTGATTCCGGTTTCTCTCTTGCTGCTCTGCTTTTTTCTGATGATGGATTTATTTATGCAATGTTCATGTGAATTGTTTAACCCTTCAGATCAAAGTGTCCCCCCCCCCCCCCCCCCCTCCACACTGACTTGTCCAACATTAATGAAGTGAGACGACCTTAATTACACACCAGAATGTTCTCCTCTCACTTTACTAATTGGCTTAAAGTAAAACATTCTTCTTCTACATCCTCACACACAGGAATGATTGTTAAGGTTTTATCAAGTGTAGTGGACGTTTCACAAAAATCCAACTCTACAAACAACGTCCTCAATGAGTACTGATTAGGACCAATGTGTCCAGTGTCTGTGGACAGGACCAGGACACCATACTGAACCAAAAAGACCCTGACTAGTATGTATTCCTTCCTGGACCTCTCACTGCCACCAGGGGCACCTGTGAGTGTAGTGTGGGAGCGACTATGATCTGAAGGCTGCTGATTGTAGAAACACAGTGACTTATCTTCTGTAACCTGGAACAGCTGTTGTAAATATCACTTGATAAAATAATTCCACACTTCTTCTCTGCGCCGATCTTTTCTTCTTCCTCGCTCGTCTGATCCAGTGTGATGACCTCATCATGACCAGCCGATTTTGAAACAATGTGACTGTATACAGTTACATCACCCATTTATTCTCCCTTTACCCACATAAACAGAATATCACTGTCCACATACTGCAGTGTTTGTCCCTGGTCTGGCATGTTTGTTGACCAATGCATCCTGTAGGGGGCAGTGGAAGCTATATTGGTGCTTTGTGTGGACATTAGAGTGACAACAGTGGTGATGGAGAGTTCTTCTCCCTCGTGTCGTCTTCTTCTTGCTGTACCTTTTTATGGCCACTTGTGAGCATGACTGCACAACACTGCCCCCGTGATTTCCAGTGGTTCTACATGTGTTAGAGGAAGCATCTGACGTCGTCTCTGACCAGGTACTCCTACCACATGACGTACTGACAAAGACAGAGGATGAATGAAGGCTCTGTATCTGAACTTGAACCAAGGATACAGTTGACTTCACCCAAAATACCAGGTCTCCACTTCTCATTCCGCTCACAAACAAAATCTTCTCTGTGCAGTCGCTCCTTTCTTTCTCTCTGTCCTGTCTCCTGTCTGTTTCAGTGTCTTCTGCATATACCCTTGACTCTGCTCTTGCTTCCACACTCCCTCCCTAATGGAGGCTCTGTGTGCTCTGTGTCCTGTTGTCTCAGCACCTTGTCTCCACATGCTTTCTTCACAGTCATTTCTTACACCCCCATGTCCACCTCCCTCTGTGTCTCATTCCTTCACCCTTGTCTTTGTCTCATTTCCTCTCATTATGGTGTCTCTTTACTATTCCTACTGTTACTCCTGTCTTACCCTTTCGCCTCCCTGTGTCCTCTGTCCTGCTTCCTGTTGTCTCAGCACTTGTCCACCACCTGCTCCCTCTCAGTTCTGCCCACCATCATCAGAACTGTCTCTTAGCCAACGGGAAACTATTTGTCAACAAATGCCTTATACATGCGCACACACACTCAGAAACATTCAAATTTGGCAGAGCGATTAGATATGTGTCACCATATATTTTCCTGGTACTGACCAGTATGGACAAGAACTGATCGGAGGGACAGTTGAGGTTGAGAAATGTAGCAGAAAAGGTAAAAGGGTGAAGATGAGAGAGTTTGAAAATGGATGAAGGGGAAATCTGAGATTGGACTAATGAGAGATAGAGATGGAGCTGCAAGAGAGAAAAGAAGACACGGAGATGGTGAGGTGAGGCAGAGGAAGATGATCTGCTTGGGCCACCCCTGAAAGAAGCAGCCGAAAGTAGAAGAAAATGACACCCAAGTATTTACTACTACAGTACTGCATCATGTGGTCAGTGTCTCAGTCTTGGTGAAAACCTATAGTGTCTAGAAATGCTGGTCCAGAGCCGTGGTAAGAACACAGTCCCATCATAACATTATTCAGTCAAGTTTTATTTTTCATTTTGACAGAAACGTTCGTCATTATTTGACTTTAATGTGTTTATTTTGCTGAGTAGTTTAAAAAAGAGAATTGTGTAACTTGACTGTCATCTAAAACTGATTCAAATGTTTTTTAAGTATTCAAGATTAAATTATTATAATTTAATATGATCAACTAACGTCGTGTCACCTTAAATACTCCTCCGCTAGTGACGTCAGCATTCTGTCCTGCCCCAGCTGCATCAACCGAAGAGAGAAAGCTAGGAAGAGAGGGAGAGAGAGAGCGAGAGAGAGAGAGAAGCAGCACAGGTGAATCAAACGAGCGTCAACGTCCACACCAGAAAAAATAAGACGAAGAAGAAGAGAGGAGGAGGAGGCACAAGAAGAAGTAGACTTGAGGCAGTGGACTTCAGTGAACACACGTCATAGTGTCTCTGTCTTTTTACCGGGTCCTTCACTCCCGGTACCTCCCATATTCCTCCCTCTCCTCCCCCCGCGGGTGTCGCTCCATCAGCGTCTGCTCTCCGACCACAGTCCCGCCGAGGAAACGCTTTCTGACCGGTGCTGATTCAGGAAGAAGAAGAGGAAAGGACTGAAGGAAGCGAAGGAAAGGAGGCGAGCGCATTTGTGACGGGAGGGGGGCCAGACAAGACCACCTCACCGACCCGAGGAGAACCGAACCGAACCGGGAGATGGAGGGCAAAGAGAAGGCACCAGCAGGTGAGTGACAGAGGGTAAGGGTGGATGATGGTGATGGGGAAATGGATGTAAGTTTCCCGATGTTAAGAAAATGAATGGAATGAAGTTGTAGGGAGGAAAAGGGGAGATGTGGAGAGAGGCTGATGGGACGCAGGGAGGGAGGAGTGTTGCATGTTGGGTAGAAGTGTACTGCGGTATCCTGCTGCTGCTGATCACATCCTGGACGCAGCTGCACTGGAGCTTTTAGGTGTGGTTATTATTATGGGATGGGATGCAGTGTGCGTGTGTAGCCATATGACTGAAATGCTGAGACCAGCCTTATGCAGCAAAACACACACAGGTGGACAAATGAGACGAAGATATGCACTGAGACAAGGGGGTGAGACAGATGGACAGAATGCTGCAGGTGTGACAGGTTAGGAATGTCAACAGGAAACAAGATGGTGAGACAGAAAAGACCTGAAAAGAGCAGGGACGAGGGGAGAAATAGGAGGTTGGTCAGAGACCAGAGGACACACGCCCAAGGTCCAGAGGGACAGTCTGCGGACAGGAACTGTGGATCAAGAGGGACATAAAAGTTTGACAGAAGTGAAGACCAGATACACTGAGACAGACAGAAGACTAGATAGATACTGCTGGGCAAATGGGACAGAATGACTGCAAGGGGAAGACAGAAAGACAGGACTGCAGTGACAGGAGCGATGGTTAGTTGAGTGAGGAGAGGGAGGCAAAAGCTGGACAATAGTGTGAGGAGATGGACATTTAGACAAAGAAAGACAGAATGCCTGACTCATAGTAACAGGTATCAGAACTGGACATTGTTGTAGAATGGACAAACTGTAGGATACAGAGACAGGAGATAGGAGCAACAACAGGTGATGTCTGACCTGGGGACAAATGATGAGGAGTTTAGATAAGGACACCCTTTTGAGAGACAGTAGGGCAGCAAGGAGGACAACAGAATGGTTGACACAGGAGGACAAAGAGACGGGCATTAGAGAGACACTCAAAACTGTCAGTGAGACAGACCAGGTCTGTGATGGACAGAGATGGACAGATATGACAGAGTGGTTTTGTTCCTGGGTGTGTCCTGAAGACTGACCAACACAGTCTGTAGTTCTGTCAGTCACAGTTGTCCTCAGTCTGTCCTGAATCTCAGAGATGCTGCTGGTTTGAGTTCTGGAGAACTTTGGTCTGCTTCGTCATCTCGGCCTCAAAGATCTCAAAGACAGAACTATCAGTTCTGACTGACGACAACATCTGAGTGTCCTCTGTGTCCAAATGAAGCCCCACAACACACCTGGATCAGAACATACCTTTACCTTTAACCCCTGTGGTCTGCTGTGTTGATGTGCTGGTTTTGGACCAGTCTTGTCCTTGTGTTTTGTGGATCTTCACCGGTGACAGATTCTGAGGTTTAGTCCTGAAGCAGTGTCCAACATGTGGTTGGTGGCCTGTTGGACTGCAGGGTTGGTGTCTTCAGAGACAGTTTATGCTGGGAGGAGGTTGTGGTGATACAAAATACAAACAGGATATATTTCAGGCACAGTGAGGTGTTGAAGGTTGACCTCTAACCTCTGCAGGAGTTCATCTTGTTAATCTCAATCCCAGGTCAGAGCCATTCTGGTGAATGAGGTGAGAGTATGGTTTATGGCTTCTTCAACCTCCCAGCATGCACACCCTACCCTGAAGACAAGAAAACGTGACATTAGAATGTGGCAGTGCAGGTTACAGTCAAAGTCAGACGCAGTGAGAGTCAACAGTTCGTCTTTTTGTTAAAATGTGTACAATATTTTCAGCCCTGTTGTCTGGGAGAGGCTGAAGTTAATTCATTTAGTTTTTTAGTTGTTTTAATTGTCTGTCATCCTGGCAGACGGTGGCGCTGTTGTGTTACTGTTGGAAAGATAGAGGTGATCACTGTACAGAGTGATGTTGGTGTGAATGTCCACACTGTGGCGTGTGAACAGCAGAGTCTTCATCAGTGAACACACTCCGACCACTGCAGTAGAATCATGTACATCCAACCACAGCCTCGGTGTTATTGATGGTTGTTGGTTATTTTAACAGTTAGCTTGTGATTTAGTCACCAAACATAAACTAACTCATTTTAAATTGTCTTTAAAACAAGAACAAAAGACATTTGGAAGACTCCACCGTCATCTGATAGTCTGACTGTCTGTGTGTACATTTATCTACGTGTGTGTGTCAGTGTGTGGTTGCAATTGTTTACACTTACACCGTATTTTATTGATGTTGGGATCAGATCCTCAGGAATCAGGACAGAAGTGACCTGCTGTCCAGAAAAGTGTAACCTGACACACACACACACACACACACACACACACACACACACACACACACACACCTACACTTACTACAAGTAGTGTGTATTTCTTATCCATGTCTGTTTGTTTGTACGTATCAGTAACAAGGCACCCAAACAGTACCTGAGTATGTCCAGTACTGATCAATGACTGAATATCATATAACAACAACAACAACAATAATAGTTATGGTGTAGTGTAAACTGCATATAAACTATATATCAATAGTTGTCAGCAGCATGATGTTATATGCCTAAATGTTTTCATCTTTTTAATTTGTTGATTGTACAAATGGATATACCAGTAGTTTGAGAAGCTAAACTTTATTATTATTATTATTATTATTATTATTATTATTATTATTATTATTATTATTATTATTATTATTATTACCCATTCTGCTTTGTAGGAACTGTTTCAGTAAAGAGAACTGTGACATTCTTCTGGACCACATCCCCCAGAAATTTGACTTCCACATCCATGACTTGAACAGAGCTGAACAAACTACCCACTCAGCCTCTGTGTTTTAGATTTGTTGTTGGTGTAGAGTACAGTCAGAGCAGAGTCAGCGCTGACTGCAGCTGTGTTCACATCAGGGTTGGTGGACTGTGTCACAGTCAGTGTGGAGGCTTCTGTGAAGGCCAGACTGCTCACACTCATCGGTCTCTGGTCATGGTTCAGTATCTGATCCTAGTACCTACAGTAGTATCTTATTCTTATTCTAGTACCTATTGTAGTATTTTATTTGGTACTTGTACTAGTATTCTTATCTTAGTACCACATAGTACCTTGTAAAAGCACCGGTAACAGTCATCAACAATGGAACTACTGATCTGAACTGGTGAATGTGTGGACTTCTGTGCTGAGGATTGTTCTGCTGAAGAGGGACTAAAAACAGACGTTCACTTGGTTAATTATGTCCCACGCACACACACACACACACACACACAAACCAGCCTGTTCATGCTGAGCTCAGCATCCCCTTCTGTTTATGTTCCAGCACATGAGAGGAGGAGCCTGGGTGTGTGCGTGTGCGTTTGTGTGTGGAGTTACATTGTAAGGGGTTTTCAGTCCATGTACTTATACTGCATGATTAAGAGTAGAGTAGATCTAAACCATATCTGAGAGTCTTGTTCAGACTCACAGACCTGTTGTTAGTGGACATGACTGTCATGGTTAGATGATCAGATGGATTCATTGTGAAGAGGTTCAATTCTTCCTCCAGCAGCTCCATCTTCATCATCCTCTGTCCATCATCTCCACCTTCTCTCCTCAGCTCATGACTGCTGCACCTTAGCTGTTGCTTTGAACTGCTCATTTCTGGCCTTGTCCACCCTGGTCACATGATGATGAAGATATCATCTCAGGTTTTCAGGCCTCAGAACCCAAACTGACGTAGAGAGCACAGGGATCATGATCATATAAGATACTGATGAACAGGTAAAACACAGCTTCAAATACTGTCTCAATCAAACCACTGGGGGCAACAGTTCAGCAGTGAGACAGAAGTGACCGCCTGTTAACCTGCAGAGTCTAACAGGACCACATGACAGGTACAGTACTGTAGTATAATGAGGTCAGTCACTCACTTTGTTCTGTGACAAACCTGAACGGCTTGTTTTGAGACACATTTAGACATTTTGTCATATCATAGAACATCTACTGAGGAGGGGACAGACACTGCAGAGACAACCCTGAGCAAGTCCATTTTACAGAACATGTCTACTTTTAGTACCAGAACAATCCCATTGTCTGAACGTGTGAATATACAGCACCTAGTGGCCACACCCCTTCTTATCCATTGGCTCTCTTTTGTTTGGATTAAGGCAAATTTTTGGTTGTTTGACCTCCGTGGTTCCTGTCACTGCAAAGAGTCATGGAGTTCAACATGGAGGTCGTGTGTTTGTTGAGTTCACCAAGTAGATAAGGCAGCAGGTAACTGAACCTTCATGCAGTGTTAGCATGGCTATTATGATGATTTCACACAATCAATTTCCAGTATTAGCATGTAGCTAATGGAAGTGGTGATGGATGATGAGGTCCAAATGGCTGTAATGCCTCTGTGTGGACAGACAGGGCGAGGCGGTCCTTTTAAGCGCATCGTCATGGAGACAGAGTGAAGGGGCGAAAGACAGCCGCACAAAGGGGAGAGTGAGCGAGTGTAACCTTAAAATGTATCGTCATGCAGAGAGAGGAGAGAGGGAGAGAAAGAGAAAGAGAAAGAGAGGATCGGCAGCTTTCGGTTATTTATGAGGTTCTTAAACACACACACACACACACACACACTCACAGATACACAGATATAATTTAGTGTGATGCAGCAGCAGAGCAGCATTAAAACTCCCATCAGCACCGGCTTCATCAAAGGCTGTCTTCCTTCTTGAAGAGTGAAAGTTCTGTTCTGGTTCTACCTGGTACTGTACGTGCGTCAGACACGTGAGGTCAGAGCCCAGACTGGTCTGTGTGTCCATGTGTGGATGTCTGTTGGTCAGAACAGAACCGTCCTGCTGTATTGTTTTGTCTTCAGAGTAATCAGAGTAATACTGTGTACTACAATACGGTATCTGTATCTCTGTGTTTAGGAAATATTGTGGTTGCCAGAATATATGTGTACAAGTTGTAAAAAAATACCTTGTGATAGAGGTCATCAACACAGTTTTTCCACCTCTAGAGGTCAGTGAGGGTACTGCATTGTGG